GAGGGAGGGAGGGAGTGATTGATTTGGTGGGATGGGTGTGAGTGAGTGGGAGGGAGTAGTTAATAGATAGGTGTTTGTTGTGTTTGTATGCGTGGGATGGGGGAGAGGGGGTGTGTTTTGGGATCGGAGGGGATCGGAGGGGATCGGAGGGGGTGTGATTAGAAGGGGTAGGGGCTCGTATGATTGTGTGGAGAATTGAGGATGTAAGACTTATTTAGAGTAGGTAGTAGGGATTCTGAGAAAGAGAGCAATCTCAGTATGAGAGTCTCAAGAGAGACTCGGATCCGAGGGACGAGGAATAAATCACATCGAGACGAGAGGATTATACTAGATTGGGAAGAAAGGTGGTAAATATGTTGATTTAGTGGGGTGACGGATTCTTGGGACTTGGATATGAGGGTTTTGGATGGTTTTGTTCTGAAGAAGGTATGTTTTGTAACTTTTCTGTAATTAGAAGTCGTATGGAGTTCTCTTACTAACACTTTCGAGGATCTTTAGTTTTAAAGGTAAGAATTAAAGGAAAAGGAAGAAGAAATATTAACTTAGATTACTATAGATAAGTCGATAAGGAGCTATCGCTAGATTAAATAGCAGGGTTTATAATAAACAAGGATAAGGTTTCGCGTAAGCAATGGGGTAATGTCTCACTACTGGAATACTATACAAGTATTCCTCCGCAACACTACTATAATATCTACAATATCTACCGTATCGACAAGGTTTGTGCGTCGTTCTATCCTTCTTTTAGTCCTCGGAAATACGATTCCTACAGTCGAATAAGTACGATAGATATATGTATAGGGATACAGTAGTAGTAGAATAAACGCTCTCTTTTTTGAAATTAAGCTCGATTAAATTCCTTACTTACCGACACACTGTACAAACCGGAGTCGAGATAGCGGATATATTCGCTAGTCAAGGAGGGCTCTCTGAGTGTGTTTTTGGCATATGAGGTTTTACTATGCTTGTTATATAAATGTGCTAATGAGGGAGGTGGGAAATACAAAATTAAAACTAATGATAAGCTTTATTTTGTGGCGTGTGATGACTGATGAATGGAAAATTGATGAAGGCTCAAATTTCTGGGACGTTGCCTGATTGGCTAGATGAATTGTGTTGTAGAGAAGGTGTTGTTGAAGTGGATACTTTTACTCTACTTTGAAGCACGTCCTATTCATGGACGAACATAGAAGCGAAAAGGGAGCATGTGTTGTGTTCGTAGTCTGGATACAGATATATTTGACACGACCCCTTCCCTGCAACGAGACCTCTACTTCAAGCCACCACTCATACATGGACTCGGTAGCTATTCTCTTTCCCACGATATTTTCAAGATGAAAATATTGTCCCCGAACAAGGACTGCCCGTCCATCCATTTATCGGTCACCCAGAACACTATGAATCGTCTCACTACCTGTACTACATTCATATCACAACTCCCGGACTTCTCGGACTACACAGATTGCCGTTAAGTTCTGAGCTCCAGGGGCCTTTAACTCACCGGGGGAACGTTTTTTCGCCTCTTCTTTCACTTTCAGCAAGATGTGTTCTTGTCGTTTCACTGGACCTTTCAAGTGGAAGACTTTGAAATGAATTGAATGGATAGGATCCAAACCACATTTTCCAGAATCTGCAGAGATATGAGAAACACGGAGGCGATCCAGCTCGCATACTCGAGCTGAAGCCGTCAAGTCACACCGCTAAGCTAACGAGTGTAACATACTTTGCATCTTGTGGTACGCGGAACTCGACTATGATCTATTCACCTTGGGCACAAAGTGGGACAGTCATTCCAAATATTGCCTCGATCAGCCATGGACTGCCAGTTAAAGTCTTGGATTCTGTATCTTTTCCCCTTCCCCCTTTTCGTTTTCTTGCTTTTTGTCCTGTGTTGTCACGTCATTCCTTTGCCTTTGGTGCCCCTCGTTACTATTTGGAGTTTTGCCATCGTCGCTCTTTTTGAAGGATTTGCCTGCGGGGTGAGAGGGAGAGTTAACTATTCGTTCGTTCGTTTTTCGTTGGTACTATACCTACTTTCTTTTCAATTGTGTCTGGTTCCTACTACCAACGCCAAAATACTCGATCATTTTGACTTCCTCAGCAATAAACAACATACATCTAGATAATATCATTCTCAGAAAAACACAACATGCGCGCTACCTCGAAGCCTCCTCCATTTCTCAAACAACGCTCCTCTACAACCTTCATCCTCGCCACCGTCGCTCTAGGTCTCTTCACAGACTTATTCCTCTACGGATTGGTCGTCCCTATCCTCCCCTTCATCCTCCGAGATCGTTTGAACACTGCACCCGACTCCCTCCAGAACCTAACATCCATCATCCTAGCTTGTTACGCCGGCTCTCTCCTGCTCTTCTCGCTTCCTGCGGGGATAATATGCGATCGTATTTCGTCCCGTAGGACACCTTTCTTTGCGGGTCTCCTGGCACTCGCAGCTAGTACGGTGTTGCTTGCGGTGGGGAAAACGGTATGGGTTTTGATCCTTTCGAGAGCGTTGCAGGGGATGAGTGCGGCGGTTGTTTGGACGGTGGGGTTTGTGATTGTTAGGGAGACGGTGGGGAGTGAGAGGCTTGGGGTGGCGATGGGGTCGATATTTTCGGTTATGGGGTTGGGGGGTATGATTGCACCACCTGTGGGAGGGGTGGTGTATGAGAAGTTTGGGAATGGGGCGGTCTTTGGGTTGGCGGTGGGCGTGCTTGGTTTGGACTTCTTGATGAGGGCGTTGATGATTGAGAGGGGTGCTGCGGAACAGTATGGTGTTGTATATGAGGATGGTGGCGAGAGAGATCCTGAGGTCTCCGAGGTGGGTGGACATGCTAGGAAGACTTCGCTTGTTACTAGTATTAGGAGTTTTAGTTCGATTCGAACGATGACTTCTACGGAACAACGACAATATCAAGAGACACCAGGTCGACAAGTACAAAATGAAAGCTCACCACTCCTCCCAAACATCAACATCAACCCAGAACTCGACCCCGAACTCAAACCTTACATCCTCCCCACCCCAACGCCCTACCACCTCCCCCCATTCCTCTACATCGAACTCACATCCCCCCGCCTCTGGGCCGCCAACCTCGCAACCCTCTTCGCCTCAACCCTCCTCGCAATCTTCGACGCCACAACACCATTACACGCCTACCACCTCTTCCACCTCACATCCCTGCACTCCGGCCTCCTCTTCATCCCCATGGTCCTCCCGTACCTCTTCCTCGGCCCCCTCGCCGGCCACCTCGTCGACCGCTTCGGCCCCAAGCCCCTCTCCACCCTCGGCTTCCTCTGGCTCTCCATCCCGCTCTTCTGCCTCGGTCTCCCGCACGCAGGCGGGCTGTCAGAAGTCCTCAAATACGCGACCATCCTCTTCTTCTGCGGCCCGGGGATGACTGCCATCAGTGCACCGAGTCTCGTGGAGATGAGTGAGGTGATGCAGAGGTACCATGCGGCGAATCCGCAGCTCTTTGGGGACGTGGGTCCGTATGCGAGGTTGTTTGGGGTGAATAGTGCGCTTTATAGTGCGGGGTTGGCGTTGGGGCCGGTTGTGGCGGCGGGGTTGGGGGAGCTGGTGGGGTATGCGGGTTTGATGGGGGTTATG